CAACTGTTAGAAATATTTTGAAAGATTATAGGTAAATAATTTTATCTTATTCCAAGTAACTTAGCACATACTCTCAAATACACAATTCAGTGTTATTCTGATTATATTATTTTTACGCATATGTTGTTTTTTACTTTTAGATTACATCCTTACCACATAGTTTTGCACCAGGCGCTAAATGAACAAGATTTCGATAATAGATTAAATTATTGTCAATGGATGCTAGGCATGCTTGAGGAAAACAGAAATTTCTTAACGGAAATTCTCTGGACCGACGAGGCTACCTTTAGTAGTGATGGTAGAGTAAACCGTCATAATATGCATTATTGGTCCGCTGAAAATCCGCATTGGTTAAGAGAAGTGCAGCACCAGGGACGCTGGAGCCTAAATGTGTGGTGCGGTATCATTGGGGACAGAATTATTGGACCTTATTATTTTGATCAAGCTTTAACTGGTAACCGCTTCTTAGAGTTTTTGATCAACNATCTGAAGGTATTAAAATATCGTCTAAGTACACTAGGACTATGGTGTCTTTAAGGTCACCTAACGCTTTCATTAATGCACGCTGAAATACCGCAGGGGCATTGGCCAAGCCAAACGACCTACGTAAATAATCATAATGACCCACCTTAGTACAAAATGAACACGTGATTTGATTACTAGTACTTGGTCCAGCAACAGTTTCATCCCTAACTGAATTTCTAATCTGATTCTGACTTCTCTTGTGACATTGGCGTCTAACATGCCTTAATTTACCGCATGTATGACATTTGATATTTTTACGGTTGTTACCTAGTGACTCAGAAAACTTTCGTTTCTTAAACGAGCTCCTTGACGAACTCATTTCAAAACTAGTGTCAATATCGTCCCTCGCCCTTTTTGTATAAACAGATAAATATGTGAGCAGTTCTGAAATCGTTTTACAGTCCCTTGACATCGTGGCATCGCGAACATGTGATTCTCTAATGCCACGAACAATTATTTCTACAAGATCTTGTTCTTGCCAAGACACTCGCAAATTTCTCAATAAGGATGACTTTTTATGAACGTAAACATCATACGTATTACATTGACTACTATCAAAATTAACTGCCTCACTTAACAAACGACCGAAATTACGACGGGGCGGAAAAACGTCAGTAAATTCCCTTTTGAAAATATTTCAATCTCTTACCTCAGGTTTCCATTCGTCAAACCACTTACGTGCATTTTGAATCATAAACCGGCCCAGCCGTATTAAGATTTCCACAACAGACCAAGACAATTCAATTTTTATCTTTTCCACTTGCTCTAGCCATTTTGCTGCGTCATCCGTTTCCGGGTGAAAGATGGGAAGATCCACTTGAACAGGGGCTGGAATGCCTTCACAAGCTCGGACACCAACTCCTCCACCTTCTTCATTCCCAGTCTACTCAGGATACACACTACTGCGAAAGGAACTGAGCCACGATCCCACTTCTGAAGTTAGATATAGTTCGATACCAGATTAATTATTCAATTCACGTGTCAAGCAATGACACTAATCACTTCAATTTAGATTTTTCGTAACATAACATCCAATACAGAACATATATTTGAATACAAATGTATCTTTAACAAGCTACCACAAAACAACTTGGAAGACTTCCACTGGCAATCACAAACAAAACAACCATTAGTTAGCGGCCAAGTAATCCAGGCAGACCTCGCTCTCCCAAAATTTGATGCAACGAACTGACTGGCGGCGGCTTTTAGACGTAGACCTGCTGTGTTTAACGAACATCATATTTCTAACAATATTATATTTTAAACGAAGTTTTGAAAAAAATATTAGACAAAAGTTATTGGTTTTGAATTATTATTATAAGTAGTTACTTAAAATAATGTAATAAAAATTTTATGTGTTGGCTACTAAGAAAGACGTCTTAAACTATTGTCCTTGAAACATATTTAGCTTTTTAGTTTACCAGGGCTAAGCTTTACAACTTAATGTCTAAATTTTTAACACCCTGTATGATAAAGACTTTAATAAATCTGGGCAGCTTCAGCCTTAGACTAGAAAAAAGGTCCTCTTGTTTATTGTCGATAAAATGAACCGTTTACGAGAAAAAGAATAATAAACGAATTCATATTTTATTTTTAATAAAAAGGGACATGATTTATATTTTTTTCTCGACAACAAAATGCGATACGAAAGTCATTCAAGAAAGAAAGTTTCATTTTAAGATGTTTAATTCGAAAAAATATGAAATTTAAAAAACGCAGGGGTATCCCAGGAGGCACCTTAACGAAATTATTGAAAAACTCCATAAGAGGGTTCGACTCCGTGAAGTCTGATACACTCGCGGGCACGACGAATTGAGGACTGTTGTACCCGACACAATAACCCAGCATTGTTCCTCATCACGTCACAATGAAACGTGATTCTCTGTAGAAGTTCCTCCCTAGTATCGACCGAAGTGGAATACACCAATTGTTTGAGGTGTCCCCACAGGTAAAGATCCAGAGACGTTAGATCGGAAGATCCAGGAGGCCAGGCAATAGGTCCTCTACCTATACAACGGTTTGGATAGACGTTATTCAGGTGCTCCTGCACACCAACGCTGAAATGAGGTGGTGCCCCATCGTGCATGAAGTACATGTTTCGGTGGGTTTCAATTGGTAAGTGTTCTATTAAATCTTGTAGAGCGTTCTGAAGGAACTCCAAATAAAGTTGTCCATTCAATCGGTCCGGCAATACGAATGGTCCAATAAAAAAATTGCTAATGATTCCTGCCCAGATGTTAATTGATTGGAACTGATGTTGATGATGCGAAACAATAGTCGCATGAGGGTTTTCATCAGCACATACATGTGTGTTGCGTAAATTGGTGATACCATTTTAGGTAAACCTTGCTTCATCCGTGAAAAGAATAGTGCTAATGAGGTTTACATTATTTGGTTGCTGATCCAATAGCCAGTTTGCAAACTGCATTCTTCGAGGAAAATCTTCAGGAATCAGTTCATGTATTTTCTGCAAATGGTATGGATATAACAGCTGTTCTTGAAGAACTTCATGTACTATTGTTTTCGATGTATTAAACGGTGCTCGTCGATGGAGTGTCTTCTACAGCAATTAAAATATTTTTCTCTAATTGCGGCGTACGTACGGTTCTTCTCAGACCAGCATCAGTACTATTTTTTCCAAATTTTCCTGCAAATATGAAGAAAGTCAATAATATGTATTACCTTATTAACTGGAATCGCCCACCATTCTCCCTTAGACGTTGGTCAACTCGTTGAAATGTCTTCTGGATTGGCAGAACACGAATAGGAAATCTGTGGTGATATAATCTTCTGGTTTGTAAAATATTGCAAGACGCAAGACCATACATGAGATGCATATCAGCATACTCAATAAACGTCTATTCCATATTTCGAATTAATTCACAATTAAATTCACCACGAAATGCAAAAATCGGTAAATTAATAACGAAGTAAAGGATCAATATGTCCGCGATGTCACTTTGTTGTCGAGAAAAAAAAATAGAAATAATGGCCCTTTTTATTAAAAATAGAACATGAATTCGTTTATTATTCTCTTTCTCGTAAACGGTTCATTTTATCGACAATAAACAAGAGTACCTTTTTTTAGTCTAAGGTTGAAGCTAGCCAGATTTATATTTTAAAGTCTTTATCATACAGGGTGTTAAAATTTAAGCATTAAGTTGTAAAGCTTAGCCCGACCCTGGTAAACTAAATATGCTAAATATGTTATGTATGTATATTATGTATATTAAATACTTTAAAAGTTCAAGAAAAACCGATTTCCAGCGGCATCCTTCAGGTGCACATATCTCCGTAGAGAGGGCCTGTACGAAAAAAATTTATAGGAACTTTTCATCTTATTTTTTCATGTTCTATATTCACCCGAGAGATTTCCTACATTTTCCCGGTCACCCTGTAGACAAAAAATCTATGGAATAAAATACCAACAGTTCATTTTAGGAAAAATAATTCCAAAACAATATTGAAAATCTGTTTTGTGCTGCAGATTTTGCTCATGGCATCGAAAATGGTATACACTGTACTGTAATTTAAAACATATATCACTTTACAATTTTGCACTAAACAATTTATCATGCCTATTCAAAATATTTTACTATTTTCAAAATAACAGATCATACATAAGCATAATAGTGCATCAAAAACAGAGAGGAATCGTTTTTCCTATGATTTTGTTTTCAAGATAAACCCCGACGTTAATTTCTATTAAATGAGTCAACGTTAGTATGACATTTTCAATACTTTGGAGATATCGCCAAAATTCGTTAAAAGCTGGCTATTTTGAAAAGAAAGCACGAATAACAGAGAAAAATCTTATAATTTTTTAATATTCTAATAGGAAGGTAACCTCTGAATTTATGATATCTACGTCATTCTGAAACACCTTAACAAAAATATTAATACGTCTCTTTCTGTAATTTGTGTTTTTCTGAATCAGACACTTGTTTTCTTAAATTGTTACATAGCTAATTACAATTTACTTTACAGCTTGTGTTATCATGATTTGCCAATTAAGTTACCATGTAGCCAAATCTCATTTCCTGTTATAGATATAACACTAGACCGTTGACCTTTAATTCATACCTAAATAGTTTTTTCTTGGAATCATTATTAATAATATTAGATATAAGTATTTCTATTTCGGAGGCATCTCACCGTATTTCCACAGCTAGAAGACATGTTAAGACATGTTTCAGTTAAATTAATATCTACCACTTATTTTCTAAAAAAATATAGGCAATGTTAACTAAATTACTATAATTATATTCTTTAAGTTGACATTGTATCATCAAAATTTAAATCTATTTTTTCTACAACAGGATGCTTTAGCAATAAATCTAAATATAAATACAAATACAGATATAATAATAAATCTAAATACCTGTTATTGTACTTGTAAGTTTATTTCACTTTTTAACTTTTTAGATGTATCTCCTTAAAAAATAATTTGAAAGCCACACGGGCGAAATAGGTACCTATATCTCCTAAAGCTGGTCCCATATGGAAACAGTTGTAAATGAAAATTGGAGTTTTCAGAGTTATCATTCCATCACTAGCAGCTAAGTTTACTATAAGTGTATTACCTGGTGTTCGTAATGATTTGCATCTAAAAAAAATATACTTGAGTCAATCAATTTTAATTCACTAAGATTTAATTAAATTCTGAAAGCATTAATAGGATTTGAGAAGACATGCTGCACTACTTTCCTCCTTTCTGAAAAATGTGCAAGAGTTGATGATAACTTACCTAATAAATAAAAAAATTACAAGGAAATTTCCTAAAAACCCAGCCAGCATAATACTGAGATATATTACTGCCAACGTAATAAAACTAGACCAATCAGGTGGTCCAAATGACAGCCAATGTAAATTGATATCGCAAATATATTCTTCACTGAAATAACCTAATTCCACCCAGTCTCTAACTGACCATTGATCTGTAAATCTTTCGATGAGATAACTGATATTTCTACCCATAACATCTAGTTTATCCTGACAGTAGTCATTTTCACTATTTAGTGCGACGTTAGAGGCAAATAAAAGGATAAAAATGATGATGGAAAAGGGTGACATTTCTTCACCGTGGTTAGCAAAACCTTACTAAATATGGGTTTATGGAGAAGTATCATTTATTAAATTAAACAGTTCTTACATAAAATACTTGAGGGATTAGATTGTTGCGTGATTATCTTCGCGACCCAATTCCCAAAGACTGATTTTTTTTGTTCGATAATATTAGGCTAATATGATACCTAAATATTCTTGAGTTAAATAACCGTATAAAACAATACAACATAATCATTTCATTTTGATATTTTAAGGTTCCCTATTTTATATAGGGTGAACCACATTGAACGTCGGATCCGAGAATTTGGATCGTACTATACGCAAAATAGTAAATGCTGATAATAAAATTAAGTCATCCTGGAAAATAGTTAATCATTTTACTAGAAATAAATCTTCTGGAAGAAATGAAAATATTCATTTAAGTCGCTAATGAATTTAACAACTTTTTTATTAATTATCCGAAGGATATTTTACCAAACACAATATCAAAAAAGTCAAGTGTAAGTTATATTAATAATGTTAATATTAGCAACACAATTAGATTTCAGATTGAACAAATTACTCGCTTAGATGTAAAAAAACATAGATAAATCTGAAGCTTTAACGGAACCTTTAAAATACCTAATTAATTTGTCCTTAATGAATGGTGAATTTCCTAAATCCTTTAAAAAAGCGATAACAAAGCTGCTTTATAAAAAGGGAAACAAATTGCTCTCCACGAATTATGTATCTATTACCGTCGTTTTCAAAAATCCTAGAACATACAGTTAAACTACAACTATTATTATATTTAAACAGGTGTCACATTTTGAATAATTCACAGTTCGGAGATAGGGAAAACTTTAACGTTACAGACACTGCTTTTAAATTAATAGAAAACATCAATACATGTTTGAAAAATAAGAAAATATCGTTAGGCATTTTTTGTGATCTGTCCAAGGCCTTTTGTATTGATCACCAAATATTACTTGCTAAGCTGGAGTATTATGGCATAATTGACACTTGACAGGGAAAGCAATTGGGTTAAAACATATTTATTTGAAAGGCGGATGTGTACTGAAATAGTCGAAATAAAAAGTTGTGTATCAAAAAAAATTCATTCTGACTTTGCCAGAGTTGAAAGCGGAGTTCCACAAGGTTCTATTTTGGGACAACTGTTATTTAAAACAACAAAGCATAAAATATTTTAGAACACGTTTCTGACTGGTTTCTTGCAAATATGCTGATGCTAAATTGCAATAAAACTAACAGTATAACATTCCAATTACGTGGAATTACAGATACCTCTTTAAAATTAAATATTGATCAAATATGCTTAGTACAATCCAAAAAATTTCTTGGCATTTATGTCGTCTCTCAGTTGAATTGGATGGAGCACGTAATCAATTTAAAGACAAAGTTAGGGAAAGCCATATATGCAATACTAACTGCTAAACGAAATATTGATTTTTTTCAGCAAAGATTGTTTATTATGCATATTTCCAGAGTGTATTTCAATATGGAATTGAGCTTTGGTGAGGATCTACTAGTTCTGAAGATGTATTCCTGGTACAAAAAAATGCAATAAGAATTCTATGTGATTTACCTCACAGAGAATCTTGCAGAAGTTAGTTTTAAAAAATTGGAATTTTTACCCTTACTAATCTATATGTTTACAGATTATCTATTTTAATTCATGAAAATAAACATTTGATCATCACACCAAATGATTATCATAGCTATCGTACACGTCATCAAAATCTCACTTTACCACACTATAATTATAATAGTACTCGCAATGGTTCTTTGTATTCAGGGATAAAGATTTATAATAAATTACCATCTCATCTAAAGGCATTAAACAGTAAAGTTTTCAAACGAAAACTAAATATCCTTTTACGAGGTCATGAATTCTATTCTTTAAATGAATATTTTATCTGTGCACTCTAAGGCAATAAGAGTGTATCACGTCTTTTATCAAAATTAAATTTTGACTTGTACATGTAAAATACATAAATATGTGTCTGTTTATTTACTGTCAATTATAATTATTACCTTTGTATTTTTGTATGTTTAGCTGTAAGTCTGTACTCTATAGGTATTTTTTCTCTTCTTTTTTTAAATACATTAATTAATACATTCTTTCAATTTTTGTGGCATTTTTTTGTCTATTTATATAACTTCAGATTGTAATAACTTGAGGAAATAAATGTATACTTACTTACTTACTTACTTACTTACTTACTTACTTACTTACTACTACTACTACTACTATTTTTTAGTTTGAATTATTTTTTAAAACGCAATTTACACTTTTTTTGTTGACAAAACATAAAGTTGTGATAGATTTTTTTTATTATTTTATCACCATTATGTCCACATATTTCGAATTTTTAGAAAAATATTCATACTCGTGGTCATATGAATTTATATTCACCCCGAATCCAACGTTAAATATGTCTCACACTATGTAATTATTATATAGGACTATTCACAATAACTGTAAAGTAAGTTCAAAGAAATGTAGAGCTTTAAAATTGTTCCGAATTTGTCTTATAAACAAACGGCTGTCAAGTTGTTCACGGCATAGAAGTTACAGGGTATCGATAGTTAAAAAAAAATAAATGTTGGTTTGCCAATAGTTTAGACACTATTAAACATGTTTCGCTTTCTTTTTTGTCATTTAATAAGGTCATCAAACTACACTTCTCAATAAAAAATATACAATTAAATATAGTCAGTGGCGGCGTTCTGGGATATTTCTAACCTGTTTCACCCTGTAACTTTTGAGGCCTCCCCTATACGATCGGTAGTGGTTAAACACAAATCGTGGTAGAGATGTTTTAAAATCTTATGAGCTTTGACCTTCATATGCGCAGAAACATAATTCCGACCGTCGCCTAAATTATTCTACGTCTTAAAAACATTACGCTTATTATTCACAGTCTCTCTCGAGCTCTAGCGTAAACAAGTCTTTGATCCGATTACAAATATCATAATAAAATGCCCTATTCTTTATTATTTTAATTTAAACAATAAAAATATATATAACGAACGTTCGTTAGTTGACTTTATTGATGCCCGAGCGCCTTAGTTCATTTCTAGTTGTAATGAGGCACGTGGTCTAATTCTGAGTCAATGTTTTCACAACGCGCTTATTAGAAGAATTATGGGGATACGCCACGCCTTTCGCGCATTTCGCGGCTCATGAGATATTAAAAGATCTCTACCTATACTATTACAAAGTCATTGTTCAATGGTCTAACTAAATCTAAATAGCATATTTTGTTATTACCTAAAAGGGATTAAGTATCCGCTTGTATTATAAAAATGCAGTCGTGATTCAGTTGTATGATTAATTCTTGTAAAATGTTGTATAATAATACAATTTTGTATAATTTATTACAAAATGTTATCAAGTATGTAAACTATTAATATTCCAGTGGCGGCTCGTCGTATGAAGCAACTGTGGCTGGGCCTCACTGTAAAGTTTGGCTCTCACACCGTATATTTTAATACCTATACTATTCTACTATTAACCTAAATAAATAGTTAAACAAATTCCAATTAGGTACCTTAGGTATCACACTTATCAAAATCAAAACAATAGAATAAAACAATTATTACAATATTTCGCCGTTTGCATCCGCGCAGCATGGCATACTACTCCCCACCACAGTGAGGCCACAATTTCCTGGCTTGTAAGCGCATCACACTTCATACACATCAAAGCATTATGCTTTGATTCCCCCTCCTCGCGAGAAAAATAAGCAAATAGTTGCGTGAAAACTTCTATTTTTTATAAAATCTGAACGAAAATCCTTCTCGTGAACTGAACTTTTATTCTTCTCGGAAAAAAATATTCAAATTCAAAAATGTAATAATGTTCAATTTTAGTTGTTAAATGAATAGTAACCAACGAATACGAGTCCATTACATGGTCCCTGTGATCAGATTCCAAGGTATCGGATTTTTTGGAGCTATTTTTCTACTAAAATCGTTAGACATTTCCAAATGATAAATGTGAATAAAGAAGGACGTATTACCCATGCGAACAAAATTTTTTGTAAAAATATAATCCTTTAAATATAGTCGCGAATTGTATTAGGAATATTAATTTTTTAATACAATACAAACAATAATTTCGCACAAAATTATAAGTACACTGAGAACACTGACCTTAACAGTCGGGGCGAAATGTATTAATTAAAACAATTAAGTAGAAAAAATTCCGGCATCTAAATATAGCCTAGCATTCGCAGCGCCGTATAGCCAAACACACGCGAACGTTTTACGTAAGACGTCCTCCCTTGAAGTGCGGTCTAGGACCCGACCGTGTCGCTTCACTACGATTGACTTCCCACCATGCGCAATAGCGCACTGGTACGCCGAATGTAATTCATTAAACTACATTCACTTATTATGATTTTATTTTCCAGCAATAGGGGATTATTCTAACCCTTGACTTTTACATTTTGCTATAGCAATAGTCCGACCAGAGGGCGATGTTAAAAATATAAAAAACGCACGGGGAAAAAAAATTGAGAGCACTGACACTAGACCGTTGGGTTGAGATTGTTTGTTATCTTATCAGAGCCCGCTTTAATCTCTACTATTTTCACCCCTTGAAGCCAAACATGTTATTAAGGTGCCAGATAACGTTTGTTTTCAAACAGGCGGTTTGACGCTAACATTTTTGACACGCACTGGAGGGATGTGATTTTTTAATTTTTTTTTTTATGTATTTAGCACTAATATCGCTATATTTACCTTTCTGCTATGTGTATATTTGTCATATGTAAGCGGAAACAAGATGCAGCGAGCGCGCGGCGAATTTCTCGTATCCCCCCACCACCGATGTTGTAAGCTACAGGTCATTCAACCCGCACAGTCCCGGCTAACAGCAGCGAGGCAGTGTACTCACCGTTCAC